GTCACCCTTGTTGCCCAGGCTGGAGTGCAGTGGCGCAGTCTCAGCTCACTGCAACCTCTTCCTCCAGGGTTCAAGTGATTCTCCTGCCTCAGCCTCTTGAGTACCAGGCATGCACTACCATGCCCAGCCACTTTTGTTTTGTTTTGTTTCTAGTAGAGACGGGGTTTTACTGTTGGTCAGGTTGGTCTAGAACTCCTGACCTCAGGTGATCTACCTGCCTCCGCTTCCCAGAGTGCTGGGATTACAGGTGTGAGCCACCGCTCCTGGCCTCATTCCAGTTTTTTTTTTTTTTTTTTTTTTTTTTTTTTCCCGGTTTTTCCCTTTTTTTCCCCGGTAGGGAGCGAAAGGGCGCTCTCGGGGCACCGCCACCCTCGGGTTATTGTGAATATGTCCTAATTTTTGCGTTTAATTTCTATAGTTTTAGAAAGTGTCTCCAAGGAAAGGGGGCTTGTTTCTTTTGAGTGTCTAGCTGAGGTCTCGGGCTTGGAACTGTCAGTTACTTGGCTGTAGTCATCAGCATTTTAGGTCACAGCTTTGTGCATATGATTATATTGTAGTAGACATTTTATACCTTAGTGGATTTTTGTCTTATATGGATTTGGCTACAGAATATTTCAAGGCAGAGGTGAACAACTTTTTCTTCTGGAAGCTTCAGAGGATAGTGTTCAGTTTTGAGCACTGCACAACCAGACAACAGATTTAATTTTTGTTCTGGTAATTGAAACTCCACATTTACTACCAGAAATGATGCTTCATTGTAACTTCAGTATTTGTGCTCCTCTTGTGTGCCACACAATTTGCCTGCGTAGTGTGGGTACAAAGATGAAATATATGATTACTAGTCTCATGGAGGCTGAGTTTTTTTTTTTTTTTTGAAAGGGACTTTCATTCTTGTTGTACAAGCTGGAGGGCAATGGTGTGATCTCTGCTCACTGCAACCTTCATTTCCTGGGTTCAAATGATTCTCCTACCTCAGCCTCCTAAGTAGCTGGGATTACAGGTGCCTGCCACCAGGCCTGGCTAATTTTTGTATTTTTAGAACAGGCAGGGTTTCACCATGTTGGCCAGGCTGGTATTGAACTCCTGACCTCAGGTGATCCACCTACCTAGGCCTCCCAAAGTGCTGCAATGACAAGCGTGAACCACTGCGTCTGGCTTGGTGATTGTTTTTTTTAACAGAATATAACGTATCACTGTGGGACACTGTAAGAATAAGAATTATTTAATGAAGTTATTTTACACATTGTGTGTGTGTGTGTATATATATATATATGTGTAGGTCTTGTTCAAAAAAGTTTAATAGCCATTACTCTAGTGCAGCGGTTTTCAATTAGAGGTGATTCTGTCCTTCAGAGGACATTTGACAGTGTCTGGAGATATTTTTGATTGTCACTGCATGGAGTGTGCTCCTGCATCTGGTGAGGTGGAGACTAGGTTGCTGCTGATGCTGCTATGCACAGAACAGCCCCCGCAGCAAAGAGTGATTCTGCCCAAACTACCAGGAGCGCTGCTCTTGAAGCTGATTTTGGTGGAACAGATAGGCACATAAGCACATGAAAAGAGAGTAGGGCGGGAATTACAGGGCAGGTGGAAAGTGAGCATGGCTGGGAGAGGGAAAGGTGGGGGAACCACATTTACTGACTTGCCAGCTCTAGTGGGCACTGTCCTGAGTGGGAAACTATTTTTATTTTTTGTATTTGTGCGCGGTAGTATTTGAAATCCTTAAAATGGCACTGGAAGGTGGCGGGGGGGGTATTATCACAACCCATTAATGCACAAACAAGGGTTTTGAGTGTTTGGTAACATAACTGAGGTCACATAGAAAGTTGTGAGCCCATAGGGCTGGGAATAGTGGCTCATGGCTGTAACCCCAGCACTTGGGGAGACAGTGGCAAGAGGCTCGCTTGAGCCCAGTAGTGGACAAAAAAGACCCTGTCTTTAAAAATAAAGTTGTAACCTGGGATTGATGTGTTAACCACTACCCTGAAATATGTGGGTCAAAGAATTTTGATGGTTAGTAGACAAGTTTCGTGTCCCAGAGGAATGAGGAAATGAGAAAGTTGAAAGTGCTGAAGAAAGAAGCCCGTGAGCTGTGTTGTGGGATTTGGGCTAGCTAGGAGAGGAAGCGGGAAGCGGAGAGCGCAGCCGATACAGTGAGAGAAGACATGGAAAGTTCAAGAGGCCAATACGTGCACTTAAAAAGAAGGAAAACGTTAAAAAAAAAAAAAAAAAAAGTTCAGATGTCTTGATGAGTCCCTGAATAGAAATAAGAAGGGAGGAACGGGAACAGGAAGCATGGGCCAAGAGTGGAGTGTTTTCAATTCAGACTTGTAGTGTGGAGCAGCACCGTCAGGGTATGGACAAGTGCAAGTCTTGGAGTCTGTTGCATGGAACATGGCCACACCACACCTTGGTATGATCTCAGGTATTGCATAGATTGGCTGTAGAGACTCAGCGAATGTGGGAGAAGGGCGTAGAGATCTATTGATGATAGAAACTGAGAAATGGAATGTAGAATATCAGCTTGTTGAGGAGAAAGGGTTTAAGAGTAATAGGAAAGCAGTCATTGAATATGTGAGGAGCTTAGGAGAACTTAGAAACCTTCCTTCTCCTGGCTGGGTGCGGTGGCTCACACCTTTAATCCCAGCACCTTGGGAGGCTGAGGCAGGTGGATCACCTGAGGTCATGAGTTTGAAACCAGCCTGAACAACATGGAGAAAGCCCATCTCTACTAAAAATATGGAATTAACCGGGCGTGGTGGCGCATGCCTGTAATCCGAGCTGCTCAGGAGGCTGAGGCAGGAGAATTGCTTGAACCTGGGAATTGGAGGTTGCGGTGAGCCAAGATCACGCCATTATACTCCAGTCTGGGCAACAAGAGTGAAAATCCATCTCGGGGAAAAAGAAAAAAAGGGAAATCTTCCTTCTCCTAGAACAGTCTCTGTTGGAACCAAGCCATCAGGAAGGTGGTTTATTCCGAAAATAGTTGTTTTGCTTGGGATAAGGATGCGATTATAGAAGAAAAAGTGAGAGAATGTTTTACAGTGGAAAGACGATTCCAGGGGCATGAGAGGAACCTCATGAAAGGCTGAGCAGTAGTGCCACGTGTTAATAGAAAGTAGAAAGCAAGCTGGATGTGTACGTGTTGTAGAGGTGGTGTATGCTTTCAGCAGCACCAGTGGATAGAGATGGGTGGCAATAGTTACTTCAGTAGATAGGTTTTGGGTGTCTTAACTAGTTACGGATCTTTGCCACTAAAGGAATTGCCTGTTGAATGTTGTTAGGAATGTGACTGTTGAAATCAAAGTGCCTGTGTTTAAATTTTAATTCTCTCCCTTGCAACCTGCCTGGGTTCAAATCCTAGGTTTGCTCATTAAATTATTTTAAGTTGATCTTGAAGCAGTGTCTTACGTTGCTACCTTGTGAAAGAAGCATCAGTGTTCAGTTTTGGTCATTGGTAATTCTATAGCTGGACTGTGAAGGGGGTGTAGGGGCTGGCGTATGTGCAATGTGTGTCCTGTGTGTGTGCAATACTTAATAGCATGCAGAAAGGAAAAGATACTTTGAATAACCTAGAGGCTGCTTTCCTCTGCTTCTGTGTTGAGGCAAAAGGGAGTTTGAGAGGAATATTAATTCTTTTTAATACTAAGCTCTTTTCCTGAAAACCAGAGACAGATAGAATGTTTGTAATAATTTGTTGAATTTCTAGACTTAAACAATCTGATTAAAAAAAAATATTTTTTTTTTTTTTGTTTTTTTCAGGTTGAGACTGAGCTAAAGTTAATCTGTTGTGACATTCTGGATGTACTGGACAAACACCTCATTCCAGCAGCTAACACTGGCGAGTCCAAGGTTTTCTATTATAAAATGTAGGTTTTATACTAGAAGGGAAAATGTAAGATTGAAAGTTGGTCTTTAATCATAACTTTTTTCCTATGTAGGTTTTCAGCTTTTATTTAAGAATAATTGCTTAATGTTAGAAGGATAGCCAATGTTGGAATAAAAAGATGGTCAGGCTATTAAAACGTATTCGCTTCTGCTTATTAAATTCTTTTGCTTTTGTGAGACATATCCCATTCCCTTCCTCTAAATGGCATACATTTCACAGTGCTTAGTGTTTTATTTAGAAATTTTACTTTCTGATTAATATACTGTCACGCCATTCCTTGGAACCACTTGATTAATTCTAGTCTGTCAGGTGCTAATTTTATTGATTTTTTTTTTTTTTTTAAGATGTGCCTCAGTTAATTTTCTTGAGATTTTTGCTTATATTTAGTAATATGAAATGTCTAAGGTAAAAAATGAAACAAAGTCATTCCTGAGACTGTTTAAAATTATAGAAGTACACCTGCTAGTTGTTACATGCATTTTTGTCACATAATTTCATATAATTTAGAACAGTTTTATTTTCGTTTAAAAATCATTGTTCCTGGTTTAATTTTTTTTTTTAATTTTGGTTCTGTTTTAGGAAAGGGGACTACCACAGGTATCTGGCAGAGTTTGCCACAGGGAATGACAGGAAGGAGGCTGCGGAGAACAGCCTCGTGGCTTATAAAGCTGCCAGTGATATCGCAATGACAGAACTTCCGCCAACGCATCCTATTCGCTTAGGTCTTGCTCTCAATTTTTCCGTATTCTACTACGAAATTCTTAATTCCCCTGACCGTGCCTGCAGGTAAGTTGTGGGGAAGAGCAAAAGCTCTCAGCATGAAAGTTCAGGGTAGCTATTTCGGCTTTCCGTATTGTTTCTGGGCCCTGCCTTTATAGACTTGGCTGAGTACTTTTGGCTCTTACTGAAACTACTTTGGATAGTATTAAACACAGACCTCTCAACCCACTAGCATAGTGGTCAGGAGAAGTATTTTGATGTGGGATAGTTTTGTTGTTGATAGATAGAAAATGTTAAAATGAGGAGAGGAATTATAATTGTTTTCATTTTTGTATATTAGTTTTCAGTCTTTTTTTTTTCTATTGAATAGAACTTGGAGATATATTTTTTCGTGATGGTTTAAGATAGAATTTGTTCTGTATATTTTATTAGTCGATATATTTATTGTAGCATATCAGTAGCAGGCTTAAAGCATAGTAAGAAGTAGTGCTCCACATACCTTTATTTTTTTTTTATTTTTATTTTTTGAGACGGAGTTTCGCTCTTGTTACCCAGGCTGGAGTGCAATGGCGCGATCTCGGCTCACCGCAACCTCCGCCTCCTGGGTTCAGGCAATTCTCCTGCCTCAGCCTCCTGAGTAGCTGGGATTACAGGCACGCACCACCATGCCCAGCTAATTTTTTGTATTTTTAGTAGAGACGGGGTTTCACCATGTTGACCAGGATGGTCTCGATCTCTTGACCTCGTGATCCACCCGCCTCGGCCTCCCAAAGTGCTGGGATTACAGGCTTGAGCCACCACGCCCGGCCCATACCTTTATTTTAAGTTAATTTTTATTAGTTGTATTTGCTTTTTTTATATCATTGTCACTTACACATTGGAATAACTGAAGAAAAGATTGCTGTCTACCTGTCATTTCTAATTTTGATTTGGGACTTAATTTTTATAATACATTTATTTAAATACTCTAGGTTGGCGAAAGCAGCTTTTGATGATGCAATTGCAGAACTGGATACGCTGAGTGAAGAAAGCTATAAGGACTCTACACTTATCATGCAGTTGTTACGTGATAATCTGACACTATGGACTTCAGACATGCAGGGCGACGGTAAGGAAACAACCTCAAGGAAAACAGACATCTCTTTGAGTTGCAGGGTTTGATTTTAAATTCCTTGGGATGTCTTTACGTCAAGCTACAATTTAGACTCACTGCCTACCTTCTAAACTATGAGATTTTAACTAGTGCCTTTGTAGGAAATGATACTAAAATAACTGTGCTCCATTTCTGGAAACTTTTACCTCATCCTTTACACTCTTTCAAGTATGGTGAAACCCCATCTCTACTACAAATACAAAAATTGGCCGGGCATGGTGGCAGGTCCTGTAGTCCCTGCCACTTGGGAAGCTGAGGCAGGAGAATCGCTTGAACACGGGAGGTGGAGGTTGTAGTGAGCTAAGATTGCACCACTGCACTCCAGCCTGGGCAGCAGAGCTAGGCTGTGTCTCAGGAGGAGGAGAAAAAGGTCTGATGCAGTCTCTGATTTTTATTGATTGATTGATTCAGATAAGAGTGCGATGGTGCTACCTCTGCTCACTGCAGCCTCCACCTCCTGGGTTCACGTGATTCTCCTGCCTCAGCCTCCTGAGTAGCTGGGATTACAGGCATGTGCCAGCACATCCAGCTAATTTTTGTATTTGTTTTTTCTGTAGAGACAGGGTTTCACCTTCTTGGCCAAGCAGATCTGGAGTGCCCAGCTATTTCTATTTTTAGAGATTTTCAGGCCAGGCGTGGTGGCTCCCGCCTGTAATCCCAGCACTTGGGAGGCCATGATAGGCGAATCACAAGGTCAGTAGTTCAAGACCAGCCTGGCCAACATGGTGAAACCCTGTTTCCAATAAAAATTAAAAAAATTAACTGTAATCCCAGCTACTTGAGAGGCTGAGGCAGGAGAATCACTTGAACCAGAGAGGTGGAGGTTGCAGTGAGCTGAGATCACGGCATTGCATTCCAGCCTGGGCAACAGAATGACACTCTGTCTCAAAAAAAAAAAAAAAAAAAAAAAAAATTCATTGCAAACACTTTAACTAGAGTATTTTACTAAACTTAATTGTGATGTTGAGTATGTATGTGTTAATGTTTACTTTAAACACAAAAGCCCAAATTTATTACATTTGTTGATTTTAAAGGAAATTTGATTGTGTCTCTAAAGAATCATTTTTATCCCTGGTAGATTGTTGAGCAGGGATGGAGAAGAGAACAAATAAGTGTGATATGAGCATTATAAGATAGTTTTAAATTTGCTTTTGGTGGTGGTAGGGGGTTAGAAACAAAGTTTGTTGTCCATTTTGGCTCTGGTTCCTTTAAGAATGTTTCTTACAACCGGGCATGATGGCTCACACCTGTAATCCCTGCACTTTGGGAGGCCGAGGCGGGCGGATCATGAGGTCTGGAGATCGAGACCATTCTGGCTAACAGGATGAAAACCCATCTCTACTAAAAATACAAAAGTTAACTTGGCGTTGTGGTGTGCACCTGTAGTCCCAGCTACTCTGGAGGCTGAAGCAGGAGATTTGCTTGAACCTGGGAGGCGGAGGTTGCAGTGAGCCAAGATCGCACCACTGCATTCCAGCCTGGTACCTGGTGACAAAGCGAGACTCTGTCTCAAAGAAGAAGAAGGTTTCCTAGGCTGAAACATGTATGTTGCATTGCTTGAGGTTAGGTGTAGTTCTGTTGGTGAAACCACTTACTGCATTGTCTTTGGAAGTGTTACACTTTCTGAAAATGCCTCTGAAAGTGGGTGTGTATGTTTCTTTGGAAGGATCAGATCAGATTTGTGAGTTTTGGGTTATGATACTGAAGTGAGAATTAGGTGACTCAGCTTTTAACGCTCACTGGCTCTATGACATGTTTAGGATTTGACTAGATGAGTATTGGCGTGAGATATGTGATGAATGTAGAACATGCTCACACACTTCTAGCAATGCCAGATGGAGCCACAGAACACTTCTCAACATGGCGTTTCAGGCACCTGCTACCAGCCGTAGTAGCCCTTGGGACTCAAAACCGATTCACCAACTCTGAACAATGGCTTCTAGCTTTAAAATTCTGTCCTAGGCCGATTGCAGTGGCTCATGCCTGTAATCCCAGCACTTTGGGAGACAAAGTAGTAAGATTGCTTGAGCCTTAGAGTTCAAGACTAGCCTGGGCAACATAGTAAGACCCTGTTTTAAAAAAGAAAAAAAGGCCAGGCACAGTGGCATGCGCATGTAATCCTAGTAACTTGGGAGGCTGTGGCAGGAGAATTGCTTGAATCTGGGAGGCGGAGGTTGCAGCGAGCTGAGATTGCACCACTGCACTCTAGCCTATGGGGGGACAGAGCAAGACTTTGTCTCAAAAGAGGAAAAATAGCCAGGTGTGCCAACGCATGCTACTCGGACAGCTGAGATTCAGGGATCTTGAAGCTGCAGTGAGCCTCGATGGCGCTGCTGCACTCCATCATGGATGACTGAGCAAGATGCCATGTCTTACCAGAAAAATAAATGTTTTAACAACAACTATGAAGGGGAATGGCCAAACAGCTGTGGACTCCTAACAGTCACACCCACTCAGAGACTAGTATCTCTCTGCCTGTTTGAGAGCATGGAAGGAAAGCATGTGGAGAATTTGGGAAGCAGGATTGACTTCAGGAAATGATGTTCCTCTCACCTCAGGGACATGTTTTTGAGAGTAGAGCTAATAAAGGTGACCTGGCTTGAATGTTTTTTACTTAATAAAAGCATTTGATGTCAACTCAAAACCAAATTAGATTACAAAATGAAATGGTTTTTGGTTAGTAGTGCTTCTGTAGGTCATCATCACTGCTAACCAGTAGTTGATTAATCAAAGTAGACTACTTGTTGGTCCACATACAGAACTAAAGATAACCCTTATTCTTGGTTCTCGAGTATAGTTTTAGGAAGTGGACCATCTTAAAATAGGGTAATACCTTTGCAGTTTCTTTTCTTTTTTGAGTTGGAGTCTCACACTGTCACCTGGACTGGAGTGCAGTGGCTCTGTCTCGGCTCACTGCATCCTCTGCCTTTTGGGTTCAGGCAATTCTCCTGCCTCAGCGTCCTGAGTAGCTGGGATTACAGGTGCCTGCCATCACACCCAGCTATTTTCTTTTGTATTTTTACTAGAGATGGGGGTTTCACCATGTTGGCCAGGCTGGTCTCAAACTCCTGACCTCATGATTCACCCACCTTGGCCTCCCAGAGTGCTGGGATTACAGGTGTGAGCCACCATGCCTGGCCTTGCAGTTTCTTTAAATCTACAGAATTCATTTGTGTTCAATTCCATTTTTAGTCTGTAAATCAAACAGCTAATAAAATTTGGTTAAGCAGACTAATTTTTTTTTTTTTTTTTGAGACAGAATTTCACTCTTGTTACCCAGGCTGGAGTGCAATGGCGCGATCTCGGCTCACTGCAACCTCCGCCTCCTGGGTTCGGGCACTTCTCCTGCCTCAGCCTCCTGAGCAGCTGGGACTACAGGCACGCGCCACCATGCCCAGCTAATTTTTTGTATTTTTAGTAGAGACGGGGTTTCACCATGTTGACCAGGATGGTCTCGATCTCTTGACCTCATGATCCACCCGCCTCGGCCTCCCAAAGTGCTGGGATTACAGGCGTGAGCCACCGCGCCCGGCCACTAATTTTCATTTAATGTTTATTAAATGAAATATTTTTATTGATATAATGTTTCAAGTCATGAAATAGTTCAACAATGAAAAATTCAGGTAGTCTATTGACATTGTGGTACAAGTAACAAACTCCAAATACACTAAAAATGTGAGTACAGAGATACTGTTCATCAGTTTGAGAGGTTGGATTTGTCAAAAAATAATAGCATTACATTTTTTGTTTTTGAGAATGCATCTTGCTCTTACCGCCCAGGCTAGGGTACAGTGGTACGATCTTGGCTCACTGAGACCTACGCTGCCGCTGCCACGTGCACCCCTCCACAACCCCCCACCCCCCAATTTAAAATGATTCTTCTGCCCCAGCCTCCTGAGTAGCTGGGTCTGCAGGCACGTGCCACCAGGCCTGGCCGGGTTTTGTTTTTTTCTTTTAGACAGTCTTGCCCTTGTTGCCCAGGATGGAGTGCAGTGGTGTAATCTCGGCTCACTGTAACCTCTGCCTCCTGGGTTCAAGCTGTTCTCCTGCGTCAGCCTTCTGAGTAGCTGCGATTACAGGCATGCACCACCATCCAAGGAACTTTTTTTCCCCCTATCTTTACCTTTCAAGAGGATATTCTTACATCCTCCTCAAAGTAAAAGGAATGAATAGACAGATTGTTTTTTGGAGTGAAGTTTATAGGAAGTAAGTCCCAAGTCTGGCTCCTTTATCTTTGATGCTTTCCTTTGTCCTACTCTGTTGGTTTATTTTTCTTGTAATGTTGCCTTCATATGATTGCTCTCCCTCCCTTTTTCCTTGCAATATAGATTCCTAATGGAAAACCCAACTCTTCCCTTCCTAAACGCTCCACTTTGTAAGTCATGATCATGGCTCGGTGAATTCTGCTTTCGGTTTGGTTCTTCACTAATCATGCCTGCGTCTTTCCATCCTGTTGCTTACAAACTGCCTGTCCACCTTCCAGGGTGCCTTTTATGGCCTGCTCCTCCCACCTACTTGTGGTTGGGTGTGATATATGGCAAAGATACTTTTATGCCAAAGTTATGTGGAACTTTTGCAAATCTCATGGTTGCTTACGAGTGAATTGTGTTTTAGTGTTGTGTTTTAAGCATATTTTGTCAGTGGTTTGCTGTTAATGAGAGTGAATGTTCCTATCATTTTTCCTAAGTTTGAATAGTTATTGTCATTTAAAGAACAATTGGATGCCTATCAGCTCTTTCATCCGTAAGCCA